ACGGGCGGGGCCCCATTTCTCCGTGGGGCGCCAGCGTTCATTGTACCGTCACTGCGTGTTTAGTACTCACGCGTCAAGTTAACAGCATCCCTCCCCTTCTCACCTTCGTTTTTTATTCTACTCTCTGTGTTTCCATCGACGATCTCTTTCCCTTCATCCGCGTCTTCCTTCGTCGGTTCCACGTAGCCGGTGACGATTTTCTCAGAGCTGACTCCTAATTATCGCCAACTGTTTCTTTATGTAGTCGAGCAGCTCGTCGTAACTGACGTTTGCGTATTTGTAGGTTCGATTCGATTAATATTGGAATATCTTATAGGAATAAACTTCGAATATCAACTTATTGCCGTCGGACGACTACATATATATAATAATATATAAGTAATATATAAGTTTGCATTACACTTGAATAGAATTGTAAACAAATTTTGAATAAATGTAGGGGAGTATGTAAACGTAAAATATATGATTTTGCCAACGGAAACTCCTGATTTAAATACTATCGAACGTATCTGGGATTATTTGAGCAGAGGACGAAGACAGAGAGACTGTATAAATGCAGATGAACTGTTTAAGGTGTTACTCGACTACAACACCTCGTAGTATTTCTTTTACTTTCAACGAGGAAGAGACTTCTCCTAAACTTAGCAGTTAGTATAATCAGTACATGCAAACAGCACGAAGACGTGTCCAATCCGCGACAAGCCTCGATCAATTGCTGTCGCATTGGGACAATTACCACCTCGTCAGTTGTGATTGTGGACTCCGAATGACCTCTTCGCGCCACGAAGAGAATAGCGCATCGGAAGGGACAGCGATATCCTCGATAAAGGATACCGTGTGCGATTGTGCTCTTTATCTTCTCGCTAGCTACCGTTTCGTAGTTCGTATCTGCGATCGACCGATCATCGAGGTAAACAAATGCAGACCTGCTCCGCAAGCTGACCACTCGCTTTATCGACGTGTTTTTCTGCATTCCGCGCACGACTCCCTGTAAAAAACCACAATTTCAATCGCGTCGCGGGCCCGGCAACCGCGAAACATGGACGTATGATTGCGCCGGGTCAGGGCTCACTCGCGATATTGACATTCCCTGGGATGAGAGTTTGGTTAAGGATTGCCGTTTTACCGAAGAGGCATGGAGCATGTATGGAAACGCGTATGCATACCTGACTACAGGACAATACTTTTTACCACCTGCACAGGACCTCGGCGAACTCTCGTTCGACACGGGAGAGTTTTGCTCTCGAGAGTCGAGGGTTCTTGCATACGGACACGCGGGTTACGATAGTTACGAGTGACGACGCAACTTACAGCTCGAATGCTCCTTTGCGGGTTCGTGCGAAAGAATCGTTGACTCTCGAGAACAGATGTTTCCGACGCGTACGCACCTTTAGAGGCCTAATATGTCACCGCTACGTCAGTATCCTGAACATTACTCGAGATTGCTCTTTGGTCTCAACTACCGACTCTCTCGTCACGAAAGTAGGGGTGATGCGTGGATTTGGATCGCACTTCGATTACGATACATAGATCTTCAGTGTCTTTGTCAGATCTCTGTGAACTTCTGTGTGACTTGCATACGGGCAACCCAACGGAACAGTTCGGTTAATCCTAAGACTTCTCGTGAAAGTTGAGAAGCTGGATTGCAGAACTAACGGTTGCTGGTTTTTATATAGGCTTGCTGAATTAAATTGTTAGTAGATCAAACTTGAGGTTCCACCAGGCTATCGACTTTCCTTTATATGAAAGTTGAATTAGAGACTTTAAAAACTGTTGAATTAAGTTGTTGGTGAATCAATTTTATGGTACCATCAGAATTTTGGTTCTTATGAGAGTGTAACTGAAAACTTGTCTAGTGATGATATATATAGAGGCTTTGGTAAATTTTAAAATCAGTAGACAAGATGACAGGATAGTGTAGCATACGGAAGTGATACAGTATTGACAGGCATGACTAACGCAGTATGTCGTTACACCTATCTTAGCTTACCTGGGATTATTGTATATAGCTGATCGACAACTTCTCGATTACAGGACAATGCTTCCTATCACTTTCACACCGAACATTTATCAATTCTCGTGCGATGAAAATTTGACAGTGTAAGTGAGCCCTCGGTAGTTTCATGTTTTCGCGGATTCCATCGCTTGGCGAGCGTCATCGAAGCCTACCGGTACGACGACGGTTTCCGTCTACGTTCGCCAACGAAACCGGTTCCTTTTTATGACGGAACATATCGGACGGACGGTCGTCGTTCTGTTTCAGCTGGTCGGTCTCATCGTCTCCACTAGTTCTGTCCTTCTTCTTACAGAGCTTCAACGACTGCCTCGATGTCCTGTTCCTCGCTGAAAACCTGTCGTTTCTTTTTTTTCTTCTTCATCCACGGAGACGCAACACCGGGAAGAGAAAGAAGGAAGGAAGCGGCGCGCGCGTTACGGCCGAGACTCGAGTCTGCACGGAAAAAGAATGAAAACCGTGGCTCTTTTTCTTGAGCCTTTTGTTTATCAACGATAGCGCCACGGTCCTTTGGACCGGTGTTGTTTTGTCTCAGTGCTTCGAAGAGTCAGTCACTTCACCTTCGATAAACAAGAATGAGCACATCAAAATGTAAATCAAAATGTACATCGATAAGGGAACCGGGATAACTAAAAAATGAAGAAAAATTTGAAACTTTGCAGAAGTGTAAAACGATGGTGTAACAGTGCAACTATTCTCTGTTTCATCGATGAGAGTGAAGAAACACCCTCAAAGAAATTACGGTTCGCGACTTATTTTACTTTTGTAAAACAACAAATTATCGTAATATTTATTCTCACGTTGCTATGCCACTTACGTACCAATCTTATTGTAAAAGTTAATAATATTTTTCGCGATTCATTCTGAAGTTTTTGTGGCTCCCCATTGATACATCTCCCTCTTTTGGCCACCAAGAAATACATTGTTGCTCACTAGGGGGCCGTATAGCCCCCGTTGAGAATCCCTGGTATAATGCTATCCTTCGGTGGATGGCTAACGTATATAGCATGCTAAACATTCATTAAACGGTTAGGTCGGATGCGTGGAATGGTGTGAGACACATAAAATCAGAGGTGGAATTAAAAAATGAAAGAGCGATAAATTATCACTTCTATAATTATGTGTAGTTTCACTTTATGATCGCGAACAGTTACATCCACTACCGGATTCAACGGGCTAGGAACAAATTCTGTGAAATATTAGCGGTACTCGCGGTCACAAAACTTTCACGCTACGTCCAAGCCCAGAACTGTCATGGCCATCGCTGCCTACTGCGGCTGGTTCGAAAGTGTTTTATTCATCTTGCAAAGCACGTTGTTTACTACTTGCGTCTTTATTGGTACTAAACGGAATCGTAAATGTGTAGCATGATTTATGCGATTTGAAATGCTACGTCCTTATTATTCGTGCATAGTGCTCCAATAATTTTACTCGCGATAGAAGCATTAACAATATTAATTTTGATCGAATAAAATATTAGATTTTTGCACGTGACTGATTTATATTTGACGTAAATCATTTCATTCGCCGACTACTTATTTCTCGATTAATATAGTGATATAGTTATATATAGTTATGCTGGACTAATAAAGTTCGCGATACCATCAATCTAATCTTTGTGTATGTGCTAATTTTCTGAACGCATTTTAACATTAAAATTATCGACGATCAACCCGTTCCTATTCAAAATGCTACTTAGAAGAGTATTGGAGGATCAACCTGTGAGCTCGATGGAGGAAGTTGAAAGAGGTCACGTTTGCTCGCACGTCTAACGAATTTCTGTCTATCGTGGACACCGAAGCGAAACGCGGCATTGTGAAACGGCAAGAAAATCGCGGGCCAAAAAGTTTCAGCGAGCAGACAATGTCGTATATAAAGGCATCGCTCGGCGCGGGGCAAAAAGATGAAGGCCGCTACTATTCCACCGAATCGACTTTCCAGAGAGCGAAGTAAAAAGACCCACGCCCGGTGGAGAGACCGCAGAAAGCGTGGCCGGATGCAACTGGTCGCTTCGTTGATTTCAGGATTCTCCTCGAATGAGGAATGGGCAAAATTCTTATCTAGATAAAAATTTCAACTGTTCTAATTGTTCGAAGATATATATCGGAACATCGAAAAAGTGTTGATCGTACTAAGGGGTCTCGGTAGTGTAACGCTTCAAAAATCATGTATTTGGAAACTTTTTTAAAGAAAACTATAAAAATTGGTACATGGTAGGCTAGTTAGAAATTGGTCCAATATTATTCATTCATCAACAAGATACATTTTTTACTTTTATTGTTTCTAACATTTCAAATACTTAGCATAATTGATTAGTTTATGAACTCTTAAATACATGTATAGTCCCAATCCCAATCATGCCTTGGGGTTATGCATAGTAAAGGTGGAGATTTATTACGTTCTTTTTTCATACTTGATGCAGTTGGCAACCCTAGTCTCGCGTGACCATAGGCGAACGCAACACGTCCGTGTAATTCGGTTGTTAATGCGAATGCCATGGTGGTTAACCCTTTGGTGCCCAAACCTAGACGCGTCGAATATTATTTTTCTTTTTCTGGCGCAAGTCGGCGAATTTTATCGCAAATGCAACGAAGCAGTTAACAATTCTTTTAAACCCATTCTTTTTACTAAATGGGTAACAGATACTGCTTGTAGTTCATACAATGATATATCGTAATATAACGTAATGCAATTGAAAGAAAAAACATTAAACACTCCTGTCGAACGTCGAACAAAACTCCAAACGTCTCGACACCCATTCGTTAAAAACTTTCTGTTATCATGTAAAACGAGAACCGCGACAACATGTATCGATGATTGAGACGTTTACCTAATTAGTCAATTTTCTTTCTCCACGATACTCGATACCCTCGGCAACTGTCAACAGTAAACACTTCGTCGACCGAAAAATCGATAACAAATCCAATTCGAAGCAGTCCCGCAGCGACACGCGAAGTCTCGAAGAAGCAAACGTCCGTAGTCACCTGGTCAGAGGCGCTTATACCCTCGAAACGCATACATAGGAGTCTACGCCACTGCGCGCCGCTGTCCTCCCGGTGGAGAAGGTTCTGTGGAACAGCAGCGTGGAGTCGAGTCGCCGGGATCGGAACAGAGAGAGAGAGAGAAAGACGGAACCACTGGATAGAGGAGAAGAGGGAAAGCCGGGTTCCGTGCATGGGCGGTGCCAGTTGTTCCTCGTTCCACGGGAGAGGGGGCGTAGGTGGGCCGTCCTTCGTGGAATCGTGTCCGCCCCACCTTCTGTCGTGCAGTTTTCACGGTTCCACCGCGATGCGGCGCTAGCTCTGGCTGGAACCAGTTGCAGCTGTACCGGTTCCCTCACTCCGCATCGCGGCTTCGGCACGGCAGACGGGCCTGTAAAGTATTTACCGTGGCGCAGCGTGCTCGCGCGTACCTTCGTTCCCTTGGCGTTCCGTTCCTTTGCGGCGTGTCGTCGTCGGGTCTCGTCGAGTGCCGTCACCGGGCACATGCGCCATGAAACGGGCCTGATATGTGCGTCCGGTCGTTCCTTCGCCGGAGGACGGACTGAGAGATCGATCCCCCGTTCCGTCGACGCTCGGAGGACACCTCGAGAGTGGTAGTATTCGAGTGCAGGTGCGCGGACCGGCCCGGTGTTGCTTCGTACGTTCGGTCTAACCAAAAGTGCTTTTGTGAACTTGTTCGGGTTTGCGTTATCTGACGATGGAACCAGGGATCCCGCGACTGGATTCCGTATCACGGACTGCGCTCGGCCATCCCGGCTCGCGCGGATGAACCTGTCAGTGATTGTGCAGTGAAAAGGGGTGTACTTTTCGACCCGGAGAACCTGTGACTCTGCTCGGTGTCATCGTTATCGTTCTCCGACATCGGAGCAAGCCAGAGTCGGGGTGATTCTTTTTCAGACGAGATGTGCCCGCGAGGGCGCGCCTTTCACCCTCACGGACAGCGATCGGTACTGCCCGAGATCGTCCTGTGAGAAGGAATCGGTGAGAGTCGAAGAGGACCCGCGGGGTTCGGTTAGTGACGTTCTCGAGTGCGGAATAGTCCTCGAAGGGAGGAAACTACGAGAGAACGGTAGAACAAAGGTGACAGCGGTGGCGAAGGAGGAAGAAGAGGCAGAAGAAGAGAACCTGCGCAGCGGACGCCATCTCCGCGTTATCGGCAAGCGGATCCTCCGGGACTCCCCCCCAAGCAGCTTCGGCGTCGCGCACCCTCGGCGGGATCTACCCCGCGACAGCAGCCACCCTGATGGGAGTGTATGAGGAGCGCGCCCCTCCTACCACCGGCATGCACTGGGTGAGTGTCATCCCTCTGTACTCTCTCCTTTGCTCATTGGCCGTACGCGAACCGTCAAGGGGTGCTCCGGCTTTTGTGTCGGTGGCCTCGATGATCTGCGGATGATGATCCTTGCCCATCCCTTTGATCTTCTCCGTGTCTGCACTTCTGCGAGCTGACGCTTCCACTTCGCGGAGGGGTTTCTTTCTTTTAGAACGTTGCGCCGAACGGAAGGCCGCGACTTTTCGGAGTATCTGTTGGATGATCCGTCGCGTGTTTCGCGATTGAGTTTCGAGGTCTCAACGCTGAAAAAGCCGGTCGATTCGACCCATGTACTTTGGATTTGAAATCACTGGATTGTTGATAACGGTCTTGCTTCAATTTATGGTGGAGATGATTGCAGTAGGGAACTGGTACATATCGATTGATTTGCTCCTCTTCAGCGTCGGTAGCTTTGGTGTTAACGGCCAAACTGTAAAGACGACGACGGATTTGTGAACTATGTAGGATTCGATAGCATATGGCAGGTCGGTGATTCGTGAATGATAGTATTTGCCGAAGGATAGTGCGTCTTTTGAAATATTTTTTAAGAAAGCAGAAGAAGATATTAGGATCGTTCGATTGTTGATGTAAAGTTTCTAGCTTTATTCGGCTAGCCGAGATTACTCGACACGAAGTCTTTGGTTATAGCAAAGAGTAAACTTTGGGTGAACCAGCGTGGGAATAATCAGTTTTGGAGCTGTAGGCAAAATTTAATGCTTTCCGCCGTTGGTGCAGGGTCTCCGTCTCGCAAACGTTCCTCGGGTAAACAGGGTTTCTCGTTCTAAATTCCTGAATGACAGCAGGTCACAAAAGATAATAAGCTTTTTCGAATTTAGGAGTCGATCGATCCCAAGTTGCCCATTGTCAGAATTCTCGAAAACTCGAATTACCTGTCACCAAACTACTCCAAGAATAGAGGAAAGTGTTCAAAGTCGGAGTCCAATTAGTTTTTCTTGTATAATTTTTCTAAAAGCCTGTATTGGCAGAATTCATGTTCAAAACTACAAATTGAAACAATTAAAAACATTCTCAAATTTACGCAGACTTGTCAAAAATAGTGGTTTCGTAAAACGTGACCCAAAATCTGACATCCTACATATTACAACTGCCTAAAAGGACGTGTCTTGAAAAAATGTGTACTCGCGTTCCTCATTTCACATTTTCTCGATTAAACTAACGAACAAGTGAGCAATTAAGTAAATGATGTTCCGGTTGAGCCACGATTAGAACAGAGTTTCTAGTTCCTCTCATTGCATAATTGCATCAAAGTTGTTTTAGGCATATTAAACAGTTCACCAAGATGGATACTTTTCAATTTAGAAATCAAATTATATCGAAGAGAGGACACGATGAAACAATTTCACAAATCACGAATATATGAAAATCAACGCGTTACTCCGTAACGCTAAATAACAATTGAATGACGTGATTCCAGTCTCCACCTGTTAGTAGCAAGTACTTAACAAAAATGTTGCGCCCGTCTTTGGTCACTTTTCTCTCGCTTCGTTCGCTAAAAATTCGAACAACTTTGCCTCGATCAAAGTTGCACGATATTAATCGAAGCCTCGAGTTGAACGGAATAAGAAGATGAAGGCGAATCGAATCGAACGCGACGCGTTGTATGTACCTCTTAATGGAAACAAATCCTGGGTACGGGTAATTCGAGTCGGTGATTTTATTGGTCCTGATCCCGTAATTGGAATATTGCTGGTCGTCGCGCGACCAGTCGCGGACGGGTCCGACGCTTATCGGCGACGTAACGCCCGGGTGATATATTCACCGAGCAACGACGACACGGGCAAAACGGGTTTCTTGATCCGCGACGTTGTAGATCGGCGACGACAGAAAAAACACCGACGACGAGAGTCCGCGAACATCGGCGCAGGGTTTGACGGATCGCTGCGAAGGTCACGAATTTTTTGGTGTCATAGGTATAATGAATCGGGGACGCGAGGGTTCCGTTTGTCAATCGATACCATTGCGAACGATATAGGTGTTTGGAAATTCAAATTTTCTTGTAGAGGCATATCTTGTAGAGGTAGAAAGTTAGTTAATATCTGACAGTTGGTTAACGCTTACTTTAGGTATCAACACTAAAACTAGATACTCGTATTTCTTATGTGCACTATTATATCTTTGAAAATAGAGAATGGAGAAGCGAATCAATTCGTGAAATTTTTATTAAATATAAATTCGCCTCGCGTTTTCGATAATATTATTGTATCTCTAATTGTGAATGATACTTAGCGGTTCCTTTTATTTCATAAATATACCTAAAACACTATATAGAACACAATATCGTTCATGGTTACTTAATTTCGTAAAAGAATGAACGGTTCGGCAATATTTGATCTTTACGATTAATTTATCCGACATCATCGGACAGTGCAACGTCCGTTGTTATCCAAAATAATTTTGAAACGTCGAACCGAATCTGCCTTGGTGTAAATCCACTCGTACCTCGCCCTCCATCGGTGCAATCGTGTAGTATCAAACGCAAGAACGTTGTTCGGTGTTCGGATCGGTGACATTCGTTTCCATCTCACAAGCGTGCAATCAGCGAAGCCGGTGTTCATCTTCGAGGAATGTTAATTCCGTTTTAAACGACTGCTCGATGACCGCGCCGTTAACGGGTACACCTTGTAAACAAACGTAATTGATTGTTCCGTGTCACCGCGTTGGCCGCTAATTGAACCGATGCATTAACCGCGCCTACGCCGACGAAAGGAGGTAGACGCGAAACGCTTTCAGCCGACATTTTTCGTGACAATTCGCTTCGAATTAACCAATCGAGAACCGTACAGTTTACTTGTAAAATTAAACAGAAAAGAACATTTATCATACGGAATTGTATAATTGGTCGTTTTTCGTGGATATTTCGCCTCGAATTAACTCCAACGAAAAGCAAACAGTGGAATAATGCAAATTTTATGCGACAGTTTATTTATTTCTCGAAAAATGAAATAGAAGATAACAAGAAATTTATCGTTATCATACAGAACTGTATAATTCTACAGTATTTGAGGAACGATCGTAATTCAGGGGTTGAAAAATGACTCCGATTCGAAGGCGCGAATAGTTATCACAGTGTTTTACAAGTTCCACACTTTGTTCAAACTTTATGAAATTGAAAAGGAGCGTTTGGAAACTCTGTAAACTGAAAAGAAATTGAAAATAAACCGTTAGATTAACGCATCATTGGTTCTTAGTGGGTTAAACAGAGTTCAATGTCAAAGCGTAGATATGAACGACGATTATGACAGCTGTCCCTGTTCTTCGTTGTTGACGGGTCGGATTTTATCGAACGCAGGTCATTTCTGTTGTACCAAAACTTACTTATCAATAAACATATTATTTCCAGAACTACATCCATTCATACTTCCAGAGACAATTTTCAAATTTCACCGTTTCGATCCACAACTTTTAAATCCTCTTCCATGATACATATCCTTTACTTCTACATTCCGAAATTTACAAGGAAAATTACAGAACCATTTACATTTTCCACCAACCACTTGTGCTGATTATTATCCATGTTCTCTGTCAGAACTTATTTTATACTGAATATATTTCAGTTCTACAAATTTCATAACGCTAGAATATTCGTAATTCGTATGAAATAAACGTAAAACGTAACTGAACGGTGTTAAAAATAATTCAACCTAACGATAAAACCAAGAAAGAACTGGCACAGCTGAAAACGACTCACCAACTGTAAGGAATATACGGTACAAGCATAAATCCTTGTCATTTTCCATGATTTCGATCAGGAAAATTAATGTAAGACGGTTTTTCAAAAAGAAAAATTATTCTGGTCATCGAATTCGTCATAGATTCGATTCGTATCTTCGTTCAAATGCTTTCGACTTAGAAACTTGAAGCAAAAATGTGTTAAACGAGCGCTGAAGGCGATGATCGAGGACAAGGTGCGTATCATTCATCACCGAACCCTACCAACCTCGATCGAACTCGATCGACCGCCCGGTTTGCTTCTCCATTGGTTGAAAAGAAAAAGAATCTCTCGAATGCGTGCGAAATAATTCGGATTAGAAGAGTCGCTGGATAGCCCCGTGTTCGAGTGAAATTAATTTTGTGTTGGGCGTGCAGAACCGGTAGCGGTTCCGTCGCCCTCCCAACGAACAAATCTTCAGGACTCGTCCCTCAGGATCCTTGCCATTCGTTCGGCTGGTTTAATAGATTTCTCACTGTCTCGGATGGACCTACTCGCGCCACCGTACCTTGGGGCTGCTTCTCCGATATTTCTATTGGGTTGAACGAGAAGTTCATGCGTTTTTATTCTAAATGAAAACTTTGGTAGTAATTATCACGAAGCTATTGTATTCCAAAATTTGTAGATGATGGATATTTCCAACAACATAACTCCACGAAACGCACAAAAAGAGACTAACGAAGGCAAGTAAACTTTACCATTTCTTCCTGAATAATGTACGAGAAAACCTGTACACAGAGTCAACGTTTTGTGATAGGCAAAAAGTTATGGCGATACTCGAAGTGCTTGCAAAACCGAAATTAGTCGCTTCTGGTAGCCTACATTTTTCAATATGTATCGGTTAGAATCGCTGTTTCCGTCGGGACGAGAACGACTTCGAGAAGTCCGCGAATCGAGTGGCGTAAATATTTTGTTTACCGAAATACCGCCGGTCCGATTAAAGCCTATCGCGTAAAGTCCACAGGCGCCGGGCGTTGAACGTCCTAATCTCCTTCGACGATTATTTTATCGTTCTCGGAGCGTGAACAGAACCAGCGAGACGATTTTTCGACGTTTCGTGTTCCCGTGGACCGATTTTCTCGCTGGCTGGCCGTTGCGCAACGCGATTTTCCCACCGCCGCCCGATGTCGTGATAATTCATTTCGCGACCACGGCAAAATACGAAAATAAATAACCGATCCCCTCGCTCGTTCCCGTGAATTACGACCAGCGAATTTTTGGGACTCGTTGGTTGTTCCGACGAGAATTA